ATGGGCAATTACTAAAGTCGTGGAGAAAAAAGCTAAAGCTCTAGCCTAAAAAGTTGGGTCATTCACAATAATGCCTGAAAGAGAGAGACAGGCATGATTTTTTAATGAAGCAATAGAACATGGAAATGATGAAAAGCCTGACCCGCTTGCACATCAGCACAAACCTATATGAATCAGGCACCCAAGCAGCACAGAAATCAGAAGCACAAAAGATTGTGGCAGCACAATAGCAGGTAGCACACTGCTGGTGCAGTATTGGGCACATCATCATGGGAATGGAATGCCAAATTCCCTCTCTAAACAATTTTTCTAATTGACAAGAAAGTATTGCGGACAAGACCAAATCATAAACAAACTGGCCAGCCAACAGCAACAGCAATCATTTTTCCCTTGGCTAAAAAGCTTAACAGCCATGTCTCTCCCACATGTAAGGATGAATCTAATATATATTCCACAAGCCATTCTCCTAAGAGATATAAATAAAGAGCTCTTCGTAAATAAAAAGATGGATATTGTAAATAGACAATTATGTTTAGCTTGTGGTATAACTTAATTGGTTGTAAAGGGGCATGTACAGATTCTTTACTTGCTCTTACTTGTAGCAGTTCACTGCTTAATTTTTGGATATAATACAAGCACAAAGCTTATCCACAATATATATATATATATATATATGGATACAATATCAAACATCTTCCCACCTCCAAGATCGTGGGGCAAACATTATACAAGTTACATGCTCAAGAAATGTAACATCAACAAAATGATTTGGGAATAAGTAGAGAACTTGTCATAACTCATAAGTGTATTTGTAAAAGGTAGCAAACCTTTGTTGCCTGTAGGACCAATCGAATTCTAAGCTCAAGGACTCTTTGGAAGACAAATTGTTCAAACTCTGAGGCTAAAACCTATAACTATTATTCTAAATTCCCTACTCAATAACTTTTAAGGCATCATCCTAAACTTATCTGCCAAAACAACCCTAAGAAACAAAGTATTGCAAAAGGATTTAAACTAGACTAAAACCCAAGTGTTACTAAAATAAAATTCTAATTTGCTTACTATACATGCCACTTAAGGAAATAATCTCCATTAAAGACATAAATAACAGGATTTGACTAATATAAGACCATGTGAAACATCTAAGACTTCTTGAAGCTGTAACACTCAACATAAAACAGATTGAATTGATACCTTTGATGGATCAAAGCCAAATCCACTCATCTGCATCATACGCTGTGTATCATCGGTTGCTGCAAAAAAATAATGATAATAATAAATAAAACTACAACTTTTGTAGTGAAACCCACAAGAGATGATAAATCCAAGAGCCGAAGAAATTTCCCATTGCTATCTAATATAAAACATGATAGGAAGTTTGTTTTCCAATACTAACCATTTTCCTCTCCTAGAATCAGACTAAATAAACCCCTCAAACCAAACAAATTGAGGAAATACCTGGACATTAAAGAATTTGTTAATAATTGGTGTAATACTTAGTCAAAAAAATTTCTCAAAAACAGAAGAGCTCAGAAAGAAAAACCAATTAGGACATTTATGTAAAGCTTCTTGCATACAAAATAAGACCATTACCATGAGCGGCTACTAACGTAGCTCACATCAACTGTGCTAAGGTCAATTCCATTCTGTAACATTGATCTGAACCTTTGAGTCAATGGGAAGGGTATTTTGGCTGCAAACGAGAAAGCAAATAGAAGAGACAACCACATTACCATTTACCAACAGAACAACAGTATCAATAAATAAAAAGCTTAATACCACTACGTGTTCAGTTAAGTTAGACTTTGATTATGTTATGACACAACAAAAGATTATGTCCATCACCATGCAAAAAGAATGAAAATGGAACAGATCCAATCTAATAGGAAAAGAGTTAACATTGGCAAATTCCGTACATCAGATGCATTAAATCAATTTTGTAAATAGATCTGCAATTCAATCTCAAATGTAGCATGAAAGGGGAAATACTCAGAAATTTTGGAATGAAATCAGTAATAAAGAGCCAAACCTGCAACAAACCCAGAGAAGAAGAAGTTGACCCAAGCAAAAGTGAGAGTCTGACAACAACAAGTTTTTAAAAAAAAGAGTCAGTTCTCTATCATGAGCAATTACACCAAAGCATACGGAAACCAAAAGTTCAAGCACCATAAAATACCTGAGGTATAATCATAGAGAGATTTTTCTTCATCATATCCATAGCCATGTTAGGGTCAGAGAACATTTGAGCTTGAGCGTTTTGAGCCTGCCCCTTGGGGACAAACAGTAATCCATTTTCCTACAAAATGCCACAAAATTACCTTTAGTTTATCCTTTTCTGAGAGGGAAGAACATACACTTGATGGATCATTTTCATCAATTTAAACTGATTTTAACGAAGCTTAATATTAGCGGATCTATAGTCTATCGACTAGTTGCAATCCCAACAAAATCATAATTTATCTACTGCTAATGTGCAATCTGGTAACAGCATAATAAGCTTCTGAACAAGAGAAGAAGAAATTTAAAGACAAATTTCGAAAAAAAAGAGGAATTACTAGTAAAAATAATGGTCATAGAAGATTTAAAAGAAGAAGAAGAAGAAGAAGAAGAAAAAGCTAACCTCATTGCTGAAATAAACCCTACGTGAGCGAAAGGACTTGGGAGGGATAAAATTAGCAGCAGCTCGCAAATTCCGAGCCCGAACAATTACTTGCCTGGAAATAGAAAATCGGGAATCGATGAATCCGAGACATATTTATCTTTATCGAATTTTCTTTATATATGTATGTCTCTCTCTATATATAACAGAGCTGGGAGAGAAATACCCCTCTTTGACGATCTTAGGATCGGGAACTTGAGAGGAGCGCATGAGCTTAGAAACAAAGTAGCGGAGGATGCCAATGAGAACCATCACCACTGATAGAGGTATCAGCACCCAATCTCTGATCGCAGTATCCAGCACCAGATCTTCCGCCATCACAACTATTTGCTCCTCCGTCAAAAACAAGAGTTTGGCTATGTTTTCTCTCCTTTACATTGAATTTTTGTCATTTTAAGGGTAAAACAGGGAATAGTCATTAAAGTATTAATAAACTTTTATTTTAGTCACTTATGTTTGAAATGTTATATTGATCATTAATATTATCTAATTATCACAAAACTGTCACTTGAATATTAAGTTAGACCAGTTACGAAAGTTTTTATTTTCATGCGTGGATCAAACTTATATTTTGGGGTATTCATTTATGGACAACATCATATTACTCGAAGATTATCATACGAATGGCTTTCACTGGTTCAAGTAATTTGTTTCATCGTCTTTCAAGGTGTCTCCTCATCTATTATCGTTAGAACTACTGAACTAGAACTAGGACTAGTACCTGAGTCATGGTTGAGTTTAGGCTACTTACTATTGCTGTTATTTATGACCTGCTCGCCATTCTTAAAATGACGCGGACTACTGGTAGTGGAGGACGAGCTATATTAATGTCTTAACCAACTAGAATTTCATCTAGGGGAAGCATGGACTCAGACAGGAAACTGTTCTACCATTTACGCAGGTTAGTTGTGTTCTTGCATATATCTATAACGATGGTAGAACCCCCTCTATCGAAAAATGCAATGAGATTTAAACAGGGTTGAAACTTGTATACCTCCATATCAATGCAGGTGTTGAATGAATGAATGTTGGTTGTTGTACAAACAGAAAGAGATGGGAGCAATGTGCAGAAACCATTTGTTTTTCTCACGTCCAGAGTAGGTTTCTCAATCAACACAAACCAGCTCATCACTAATCAATATTCAATTATAAAATTCAGAGGAAAGCAGTTGAGACAGCAGGAGAGGGATTGCTCGCCTAAGATTTATTACGAATTCAAAAATGGGTATTTTCTGGAACAATGCATAATTGATCCCACTGGTTATCCATGAATCAGAAAATATTAAGAATAACACCATGCAGACATTTATTTTCACGTTAGTCATGCATAATCCTTCCGATTAATCTCTGATTCATCAATCATTCCAGTAACAAGTTGAAATGCTGATATGAGATTACGACTTAACAATGGAAAGTACTGGAAAAGAACCATTCTCGAAGAGTGTCAAAATTTCCTCGAAATTCTCGCCCCAGTCATAATTGTCATAGAAATTGGAAGTCTTAAAACTGTGTGAAGCGACTTTGACAACTGATCCAGAGGGTTGGCATTTGCAAGTACGACATTAAATTCAGGACCACCACTTGAGGCTCGAAGAGTTGATTCAGCGTACACAAAGTCTTAACACTTCAAACTGGGTCCGTGGTAAAATAAATAAAGGGTCAAGAGCAGTTAGCATAGGTTATATAGTCTACCAGAGAAAATAGAAGTACTGCGATTCTAATTAGTACATTTTACCCCCCTTTATTCCGATCAGTATATCTGTCTCTGAAAAAAGGTCAAAAATCCATATATTAAACAAAGGGTTTAGGCAATCTAGGCTCTACTGCTGTATCTCTCTTATCTCCAGCATTGTCCTGTTAAATAAGAGATTTTAATAATCGAAAAGCCGGTTCTTGAATCGTGATCTTCGTGGAAGCTAGTGCAGGAGTGACCTTCACGATCTCTCCACCTTTCTCTCGCTCTCTTTGTTTCGTTTCACGAATATACATATTTTCGAATGACCACACGACTTCCTTGAGTGTTTGAACTTTCCTTTGACGAACCCATCTTCCTCTTTTGCTACCCATTCCCTCTATTTTTTGTTTTTATTGGTGTCTTTTCTTGTTTGAAGGGTTACCCTATTCTTTTCTTCCTATTTGGTTTCTGTTTACCTTTCTGTGATTCTTAGACCCATTTTTTAATACCATTATTATAATTTTGTTTTGAATTGGAATTCCCCTCAACTCTTGTTGTTTTCTTCTGAGACTCTTCGTAGACCCTAGTGGCATTTTTTGGCTTGTATTTTCTGTTCTTTTGCGCTTTGGGCAACTATGTTAGTATTATATATTCTTGGTGAGTGAGTTTTGCCCCTTTTCTCTTTGTACCTGTTTGATGGGCTGTTGATGTCTATGGCGGTTGGTGAGGATCCAAGTTCCAAGAGCATGGGGTTTGACAAAGATGGGACTGTTGTTGACAGTGAAGCTTCAGAGACAAAAACAGCATCAAAGATGCCTGCTAACGGTGATAACGTTGAAGGACATCACCCTGGGTTCAGTAGAAAAGCCAGCCAGAGTTCTTTTTGTCCAACTGAAGATGAAGACGACGATGATGAAGAGAGGGAGATTGAGTTGGGCCCTAAGTGCACCCTCAAAGAACAACTCGAAAAGGATAAGGTTGGTTTGCTCCATCTCTTCCTTCATATTTCAGTTCCAGTTCTTTTTCCCCGCTTTTCCTTTAGCGCTGTTCTTTTATTTTCTTTGAATTTGAGGATTCAGGATGATGAGAGCTTAAGGAGGTGGAAGGAACAACTTCTTGGGACCGTGGATTTCGACTCCCTTGGAGGTTTGACTTCTCTTACTCTACATATCTATTCTTTGAAACTTGATGGTTTCTTTGACAGTTGATGAAGTTTATATGATGTATTTATAGAATGGAAACTGATCTTGAAGTGCAATAAATGATTTTAGCTAGCAAGTTCAAAAGTTGCATAGTCGGTACTCGGTAGAGCATAATTGCGCTATCTAGAGCATTAGTGTTGTCATTGGTCTCCTCAGTAGTTTCCATTCTCTGTTGCAAGCAAAAATCTAAGGAGAAAGAAAAGAAGAAAGCTTGCCCCGTCTTTGTATACTCACATTTGCATGCATTGTTTATGATTGTATAGAAAAGGTGGAACCTGATGTTAAGATCCTGAGCCTTGCAATCATATCACCTGGTAGGCCAGATATGGTACTTCCAATTCCGGAGAACGGAAAGCCTAAAGGTCCGTGGTTTACCTTAAAAGAAGGTAGCAAATACACCCTGCAATTCACATTCCAAGTGAGCAACAATATTGTGTCCGGGATCAAGTACACTAATACGGTTTGGAAAACTGGTGTCAAGGGTAATTCCTTTTTCTCTCTGTGTAGTTCGTATGGAAGAATTATATTCTTTTATATAAACTTTAGGTTTGATGTTCTTCTCGATGAATTTGTTTACCAGTTGATAGCACGAAAGAGATGATTGGGACCTTCAGCCCCCAGGCAGAGCCTTACATCCATGAAATATCTGAAGAAACAACTCCATCTGGGATTTTTGGTAGAGGATTTTATTCAGCTAGAAGTAAGGTAAAATAAACAATAATCTTTTTTCCGTTATCAGTTAGACACCGTAATTGCACAAATGGATCTGGGCTAGTATAAATCTGGTTTGTCCATCGTCCATCTGTTTGGGCTAGTTTGAATCTGGTTTGTGTTGCTTTTATTATAACAAGGTTTTGACTTAATTTGCTATTGTTATTTGATTTTCTTGTCAGATGGTGTCTCTCATATATGTATATATACACACACGAGGAAATCATTATTTTCAATCCAGTTTTCACCACCAGACAAAAACTCAATATTGATCTTTTCAGCATACAGACTTCCAGAGAAATATGACCCTTAACAATCGATTCAGATCTTGAACAATGCTACATCAATGATCCCCTATTGTCCAAGAATTAATACAGTAATAAAGATCCCATTAATAAGTTGTCTGGATCAATGTGAAACAGGATTTTGGGATTCAAATTTGTGGTCATCTCATGTTGTAGACATGAAAACATAGTTGAAATTCTGTACAATTTTGATTTTTGAGCGCACGAGCCTGACTGAATGTTTCATTACTCTTTTGTCTCTGTTTGCAGTTTGTCGACGACGATAGCAAGTGCTACTTGGAGATAAACTACAGTTTCGATATCCGTAAAGAGTGGCAATCGTAGACGACATGCGAATGAATCATTTACAGCTAAATCAGTTTGCTCGTGCCCATTATTTGTCAAATCACCTTTAGATGTAACCATAGTTAATTTACTGTTCGTGTTTGCTCCTGTGTGAGAATGAGACTAGGAATCATCTGTACAATGAAGAGAGTTGATCAAAAAGCGTTCTGCTTTACCTGAGTTGCAGTTAAGACATTAATTTCTTTAGGATGGATTAATAAAAAGTTGCGCTTTTGCTTTCAATTTTCCTTCATGTGATGTGCCGCGCTAGTCTTGCATTATGTTAAGCTTTATGCAGCTTCCGTTTGGAGTAATTGGATATGTAATCGACAACGAATGGTGGAACTTGTAAAGGGGGTCGTTTCATAATTGCATGATGTAATCTTGTTTCCTTCACTGTTAAAGTTGAAAGTTGGCCAAAGCATAAACACTAAAATTTGGTGGTGGAATTTTTGCTAATATCTCCAGTTCTGAACAACCCATATCAATTTTTGCTAATATCTCCGGTTTTGAACTATCCACATTTAAAACAAGGAAATATTGACGAGCAAACCTCACTTCTTTGACAGAACTGCTTCTTAGTGAAAACAACTTTGCAGGTTGCCTACCACGTCTGTCAAGGTGCAAAGCCACAACTTTTTCGTTCAACAGTTTTATAGGTCGCGTCCCAAAGAGCTTATGGAACTGTACAAGCCTCGTTTGAGTTCAACTCCATTACAACCAGCTTTCAGGGTCTCTAGAACAGGACTTTGGAGTTTATCCGAATCTGAGTTATTGTGAGTTAAGCCACAACAGATTGGAGGGATTGCTTTCAGCTAACTGAGGAGGATGCAGAAACCTAGAGCAATTAAAAGTTGCTGGTAATTCGATCAGTGGCCAAATACCTGAGGACTTTGGCATGCTGAATCGACTAGCTGTGCTCGATCTTTCTTCTAACCAACTTGTTGGAAAGATGCCAAAAGAGTTGGGCAGATTAACGTCTTTGTACCTCCTCAATTTGAGCAATAACCATTTAGCAGATGAGGTGCCACTTGAAATTGGAAAGATCTCAAGTCTTGAGGATCTAGATCTTTCAGAAAACAAGCTAGACAGGCCAACTTGGTGAATGCTCAAAGCTACGTAATTTGTGCTGGAAGAAGAACTACTTCAGGGGACCTATCTCATTTGCTCACACGGCTTATACTTCCAAAGGTAGCAAAGTGGACCATGTTGGAACAGATAAGCATCTCACACAACAATCCCCTCTTTATTCGGTATGATGATCGGCTTATCATAGATTGACTTCTCATACAATGACTTGGAGGACCCGTTCCAAACAGTGAATTCTTTTACCATGCTTCCCCATTAGCGTTCTCCAACAACAAAAACCTATGTGGCGAATTTGAAGGTTTGAGCCCTGAAGTAACACATCAGTGGGGACAAAAACCTATAAAATGAATCAGAGTTCCAACAAGTATGGTGCGTCTTTATCAGGGATGGTACTTATAGAATCAAAATAGAGTAAAAACTCTAATTGATTGAGAAGAATAAAAATTCTTTAGAATAATCTCACAAAATTGCAAAATGGAAGAACTCTTAAGAAAGCTTTCAAATGCTTATAATTAAGCTTTGATTGTTGGATGATAAAACTCAAATACAAGTAGGGTATTTATAGGTTACAAGAAACAATCTAAACCACTCACTAAAATAAGCACTAAATAATCTAAACCATTGAAATTAAAACATGAGAAAAATACTTAATTTTCACCTAACTAAATTGATGTAAGCAATGACATCAAAACTAAATTGATGTAAGCAATGACATCAAATTAATTTAGGTGTGAACTTATTTAGGCTAATATTGAATTTTCAACACCCCCCTCAATGTTAGCCTCCATTCTTTGAATCACACCATGCTGATGACGGAAATGTTCAAACTTTCCAACACTCAACCTTTTGTAAACAAGTCAGCAATTTGCTCATCTGTCTTGATTTGCCTCATCTCAATCTCTTCTTGCAAAACTTTTTCCCTAACAAAGTGGTAATGTACTTCCACATGTTTAGTTCTTGCATGAAAGACAGGATTCTCCGCCAGCCGAATTGCCGATTGGTTGTCATAATACAACGAAATTGCATAATCTACTGGTTGATGTAGATTATTCATCAACTGTATCAACCATGTACTCTCTTGAGCTTCCATTGTTGCTGCTCGATACTCAGCTTCAGTGGTTGACAATGATACAGTTGGTTGTCTTTTGCTACACCAAGAAATTGTTCCGAAGTCAAGCTTAAACACATATCCAGTTGTTGATCTCCTGGTGTCATGATCTCCTGCATAATCAGCATCACAATAACCAACTAACTTACAGTCTTCACCTTTCTTGTACAAAAGACCATAGTCATTTGTATTCTTCACATATCTCAGTATTCGTCGAACTGCTTCCAAATGAGGCTTCTTTGGATTTTGCATATACCGACTCATCACACCAACTGCATAAGAAATGTCAGGTCGGGTCAAGGTTAAGTAGACTAGACTACCTACCAATTGTCGATACATTGTTGCATCTTCCAAATCTTTTCCTTCATGTGCACACATTTTGATATTTGGTTCCATTGGCATTGAAGTTGACTTGCATTCGAGCACTCCAAACCTCTTCAACAAATCTTTAGCATATTTCTGTAGACATAAAAATATTCCTTCATGTATGCGATCAACCTCTAGACCAAAGAAGTGCTTAAGTTGTCCAAGTTCTTTCATCTGGAAACGAACTGATAAATTCTCCTTCGTCTGAAGAATTTCTGCCTCATCATCACCGGTTATGATTAAGTCATCCACGTATACTAGCACGATAGCTAGCTTACCTTCATTGGCTTTGACAAACAAGCTAGAATCTGCAGGTGTTACTGAATAACCACTTTTCGTTAGAAATTCAACAATCTTACCATACCACGCCCTAGGTGTTTGTTTCAATCCGTAGAGTGTTTTTCGCATCTTACACACATATTCATGATGATCTTGACTCTGAAAACCCATTGGTTGGGTCATGTAGATCTCTCGATCTAGTTCTCCATGAAGAAAAGCATTCTTCATATCCATCTGCCACAAGATCCAGTCTTTGTTGGCTGCAAGTGCAAGTAAGACTCGTACGGTTGTAAGTTTCGCCACTGGACTAAATGTTTCATCATAGTCTAGTCCATACTATTGAGAGAAACCACGAGCTATCAATCGCGCTTTGTACCTCTTGATTGACCCATCTGGACGGCGCTTTATCTTGTAAACCCATTTGCAAGATATGGGTTTCACATCTTTTATCTTTGGTACAATATCCCAAGTTTGATTTTGCTGAAGTGCATCGATCTCTTCTTTCATAGTTGTCATCCACTCAGAACTCTTCGATGCTTCTTCGAACGTCTCAGGCTCCGTTGCTTCTTCAATTATGGCTGCATTGGCATATTTGGGATTTGGCCTTCGTATTCTTGTTGACCTTCGGAGTTGAGATTGTGGAATTGATTCTTCTGTTTCACTAGGCCTACCTTCTTCGTTTGGTTGTTGATATACGCCAGTTTGCCAAGGATTCTGAGTCACTCTTTGTTCGACATCATCGCCATTTGGATCTTCTGATTCATCTGAACTTGTTTGGAGTTGAACAACATGCTCCCCCATCTTTTGTTGTAGCTTGTCTCCAAATTCTCTCGAATCTGGCAACACCTCCTTCTCTGAGGACCACTAAGAAGATGCTTCATCAAATACCACATTTCGTGACGTATAGCATCTTCTACTAATTGGATCACAACATTTCCACCCCTTTCTCTGGCTGTCATATCCCACAAAGATACATCTAACAACTTTCTTGTCAAATTTGCTTCGTAAATGACCAGGAACAAACACATAACATACACAGTCAAATACTCGAAAGTAGCTAACTGTAGGTTTTATGTTCCATAGTTTCTCAAAGGGTGAAACAAATCCTAACCTTGGTTGAGGAAGTCTGTTGATCACAAAGGTTGCAGTCCTCATTGCTTCAGCCCAAAACCTTTCAGGTACATTCTTTGCATGTAGCATACTTCGACAAATTTCTGCAAGATGCCGGTTTTTTTCTTTCCGCTACATCATTCTGTTGTGGCGTGTTGGCACAAGTGTACTGATGACGTATTCGACATTCCTTTAAGTATTGAGAGAACTCGTTTGATCTATATTCTCCTCCGTTGTCTGTGCGCAAGCAACATATCTTCTTTCTCACTTCTCCTTCAGCTGAGTCTCTGAACTCTTTAAACTTTGAGAACGTATCAGATTTTTCTTTCATAAAGAAAACCCACACATACCTGGAGAAGTCATCAATGAATGTTACCATGTACCGCATACCGCTAATTGATTGTTGCTTAACCGGTCCAAACACATCAGAGTGAACCAACTCCAACGGTTCTTTTGCTTTAAACTTCGACTCGTCATATGGTAATTGGTGTGCTTTACCATACTGGCATCCCGCACAGACTGTGTCTGTTCTCACGTCTAGTTGAGGAAGCCCCTTAAGCATCGACTTTTTCACCATCACACTTAGCTTAGAATAGCTAACGTGACCTAACCGCATGTGCCATAGATCTGATGTCTCATTTTTCCTTGTTCTGTCTACATATGCAGACTCTACTGACATCACGTAAATTGATTCCAAACGTCGTCCCTCCATTGTTGGTGTTTCTGAGATTTTGACGTCATGATAAACCTTCATGTCTTGGGGACCAAATAAGACATAATGGCCTGATGATGTTAGTTGAGCCACAGATAGCAAATTTTTCTTCATTCCTGGGACATGGTAAACATCTTGGAGTTGCACCTGGTTAGTATTATATCGAGGGGTAACTATTGTCTTATCGATGTGAGTTATCGGTAACCTTGAGTTGTCAGCTGTCACCACCACACGACCTCTATTGTACTCAGACATGTTTTGCAACTTCTGTTTGTCACCCGTCATATGATTTGAGCAGCCATAATCTACGATCCAATCATTCTTGTAGTCATTCTGTTCTGGTGTTGTTACCGTGAGAGCTAATTCTTCTTCCTCCGTAGTAAATAACGCTTCAGCATCCCAACCATCTTCACTATTCTCCTTCGAACAAGAAGTAGCAATATTACTTTCAACAGGCTTTTTCTTGGTCCAACAGTCTTTTGCCATGTGACCCATCTTCCCGCAGTTATAACACTTGCCATCGAACTTTCTACTATTACCGCGATTCTTGGATGCTCCCCCTGAATGAGGGCCTCCCTTTCCTTGGTAATTTTTCACCTTGTCACCATCCTTTTTTAGATCCACTGCCAGTATACCGCTGAAAAGTGCCTCTGCTTTTGCTGGTGTATAGCGCTTCCTCTTCACCCTTCAGCGAGACTCCTCCCATTTGCTTGGCCATGACTTCTTGACTTGCAAGCAAATTTTCGAACTCAACAAGCGATGGCTGTGTCGGCCATCCCTGTACAGCGGCAACAAACCCTCGATATTCGGGTCTCAAACCATGGACAATTATTCTTTTTATCCTGGCTTCCCCAATAGCAGCTGTCGGATCTAATTCTGAAATTTCACGACATTTCTACTTCACCTTGTGAAAGTATTGGACAACCGCCATGTCGCGTTGCGCCATTGATAGAAGTTCATTCTCGAGAAGTTGCAATTTTGTATCGTTCCTCTTCGAAAAGAGTGTAACAAAAGTGTCCCATGCTTCCTTTGGTGTTTTAGCATCCCGAATGTGCTCCAACATTTCTTCTTCAATTGTGGTCTTTAAAGCAAACATTGATTTGCCTGTTTTAATTTTCCACTTTCGCAAGATTCCATTGGCATCTTCTGTCGTCGGTTGTGTAACTTCACCACCATCGACAACCTCCCAAAGATCTTGACCTTGTAAGTATGACTCCATACATGTTGCCCACGTGTTGTAGTTTTTGTTGTTGAGCTTCTTGATTCCTCCAACTACTTGAAGATCACTCATCTTAACGGCAAGGCTTTGACTACACCGAACAAGCTTGAGTAACAAACGTGCAGAGTACTAAATTACTCTAAACACAAAGAAGCTCCACAAGGTTTATAATAACCCCGACAATAACTCAAGAAATATTTTATGATGTGGAAGATCAGTTAAAAACTGCAGCCACAGAGCATACTCAAAATTTCAAGAGACCTTAAAAATGTGGCTCGGATACCAATTGTAGAATCAAAATAGAGTAAAAACTCTAATTGATTGAGAAGAAGAAAAACTCTTTAGAATAATCTCACAAAATTACAAAAGGGAAGAACTCTTAAGAAAGCTTTCAAATGCTTATAATTAAGCTTTGATTGTTGGATGATAAAACTCAAATACAAGTAGGGTATTTATAGGTTACAAGAAACAATCTAAACCACTCATTAAAATAAGCACTAAATAATCTAAACCATTGAAATTAAAACATGAGAAAAATACTTAATTTTCACCTAACTAAATTGATGTAAGCAATGACATCAAAACTAAATTGATGTAAGCAATGACATCAAATTAATTTAGGTGTGAACTTATTTAGGCTAATATTGAATTTTCAACACCCCCCTCAATGTTAGCCTCCATTCTTTGAATCACGCCATGCTCTGTGGATTTTGAGTATGCTCAATTAGAGAGGAAAAATGAGCAGGTAAAGGAAACTTGATGTCAAAATAGAGGATACCAATGTTAGCCTCTAATTGATGTAAGCAATGACACCAAATTAATTTAGATGTGAACTTATTTAGGCTAATCAGAGTTCCAACAAGTATGGTGCGTCTTTATCAGGGATGGTACTTTCTTTAGCCCCATGCACACTCCCGTTGAGCAAAAATGATCAGGTAAAGGAAACTACGGTATCAAAAAGGGGAGCAGGAAATCCGTTTCAATTCTAAATTATGATGGGAAGATCGTGTATGAAGATATAATTTAAAAATATTGTATTGGGGCCGGTGGAACTGGAAGAGTGTACAAGGCAAAGTTAAGAATAGGACTAGTTCTGGCCATCAAGAAACTATTTTCTCCAGACGCGGAAGAGGAAGAGCGGTAGATAAGATGGGAAGTTATATCAAAGTGATTCGATTGTTAACAGAAACACGCCATAAAAATATCGTCAAATTTTATGGATTTTGTTGCCAACGGCCGCACAGATTCCCAGTTTATGATTATATTGAGAAAGGAAGCCTATCTGATGTCCTGAGGGATGATATGAAGGCCAAAGAATTGGAGTGGAGCAGCAGGATCAAACTTGTAAAGGATGTAGCAAATGTTTTGTCCTACATTCCATAAAATACTCGAAGAAAACTACTTTATTATTTTCATCATGATGTTCTTTAAGTTTTACAGGGTTATGTCGCAAGGATATTGAATACATAATTTGAAAACCAAAGTAGATTTGCATATAACAAACTACCTTAAGATTTGCATAACTCGTAATAACTAAATAGCCATATAGCAAACGCAAAGCCAAAGCCCGACCAATAATAACACAGAGCTCCCATGAAGCCGGACTGATCCAGAAGGGGTTGTGGGAGGTGCGGCAGGTTTAGGGGATCCCTTCCCCATCCAATGGGATGTCATCTAAGCCGTCCGTGTACATTCTTAGGGGGTTGCTCACATCGCACGACTCATATTCTTCCTTGCTATTTAGCTCGGCAATGCTCTCCTCTGCTGTAGAGTAGGCGAACCCTGTGCAACATTTCAATTTAACCATAATCAAACAGAGAAAAACATGAAGAAAAATTTAACAAAAATTGGTTACTGTATCATGGTACCATATATATAGAGAGTTGAACGGAGCTGCTATGTGTTTCTATGCTAAGCTAATTAGAGAGGAAGAGTAAAGCAAAAGCATACAAATTGTCTCCAACACTGAAGCTCCTACCGGAGGACCAAGATGCCACGTCGGAGGAAGGGTCCCACCCTTGATCACCTCCGACTACATGGTGCACTTGTGCTCCAGCCATTTTCCCTCCGAGGGTCGCTGCCATAACCACTGCGACGATCACCATCTTCAGAATAGCCATTTTCACGGCACAGGGAAAGCATAAAAAAAAAGAGTTGTGCTATTGCTTCTTTAGAGGGAAAAAAATGAAAAGAGATAGAGCGGAGTGTTTGTTAAGCGCAAAAGAGGCGCTTTTTAGCACGGTGGGTGGAAAGGTCTCCTTCATCCGCCAGTGCTTTAGGCATTCGGAGTATTAAGGACGCGGGATCTCCATGCACCACTCCTGTCTCTTTAATTTTGAATTTTGACTGATTCCCTCTTATTTCCAACTTTATTAATTTAGTTAATATCATGTAATAGTAGCTCTTTGAATTTGGACTTCAATTCATTTGGTTGGACCTTCCTTCTTTTAAGCGTGTAATCTGATTGTTCACTCCATATGTTTTGAATTTTTCTTGTGACATAGACACTTAGTCGATGAGTTCATATCCCTTAGTTATCATTATATATTAGTCGATGAATTTTCTAATAAACTTAGTTTATGCCGAAAGTTGTCCATAAAACTACAATTATGGTTGAAAAAATATATTGATATTTGGACAAAAATTCAAAACGTGATAACTTTTTATTAATAGTTATGAAAATTGAATCAGATTAATAGTTATAATTAACGATTTGATTTATCAAAAAATAAACAAAATATTATTGGAATATCTAAAAACTAAAGATATAAGTATTTTTATTAATTCGAATGATTATAAAATAATATATATTATAAATATTTTCAACCATTTAACAATAAATTTTCAAACATACTTACAAACGTCGTACTGAAACTAGAGACCTCTAAAGATAATAACACTACCTTTAAATTTTAATCGTTTGATTTATATATATATATATATATATATATATATCTTATCAATTAAATATGAAATAATGATTTCACCCGTTTGGCGGACGAAATATAGAAGCATTGAAGCAAAGTGATGGATGTCAGTGAATCCACCGTTGGTTCGGTCTTTTACCATCCTCAAATTTGGAATGTTAAAAAAATGTAAAATTTATAGCCATTAAGAAGAGGGGGATATGATAAGATCAACATTGATGATCACATCGGTTATTGATTATCACAACACAAAAGGGGGGGGGGGTGTGGAGTCCGGACAGGAATCCTGAGTGGGGTAACCTTGGCTTTAATCGAAGCCTTACTTTTGCCGACCTCGTTTATTGCACACACCTTCAGTCTCCAATCCATCCATGCCCACTGTACCCTCCTTTCCTTTTACCATTACTCCCTTGCACTCTTTATTTACAAGTATTGGCCATGTAAAATGATGAAATTTCCAATTTTGGCGAGTGGCAATTAACACAAGCTTAAGGGAATAAGAAGAAGAAGAAGACGACGACGGACTTCAACAAATAGTAGCTAAATTAATTGATTGATCTAAGTAGATAAGAAGGATACTACTAGCAAGCCTTATGTGATTTTCTTATGGATATTCCTTCGTAATAAATAAATATTGTAGGCATGTTGAGTTGTTGGGTCAACAGATGCAGAGCAACTTCATCACATGCAAAGAACACTAAATTCAGTGACAAAATCAACTTAATGGAACTCTCAGTTTCAATGCAAGGAAAAAACAGAATATAGAAGAAACAAATGTGCTTCACAGTGGTGGTGAGGAGGGGATCAATTTCTAATTCCTGGTTTCCATCAATCATAATTTAACAACAAAGCTCAAATCTAATGATGGTAAATGTATTGAACTCATAGCTTAATCTTGAAGAAAATGGTGGGCAACAAGAAAATCTTTCTTACCAAAAGGTTGCTTCAACAACAACAAAAACATGATTGATTTCAAGATTAAACTACCCAATTTTACATTGAAACAGGGCGTAATATACCAAAAAAGGAAGCAAAACTAATTAAAGAAAATTCGTTTTCTTTCTCTTATAGAAAGAAATATAGGCTGGAATTAAAACCCACCTTTTTTCTTGGATTCTCCTCTAAATTCACTGCCCCCAAACATTCCAAATCCTCTCTCCAATGAAGTTCACGAACCTCCTTACCGTCCCCTTCTCTGTTCCCTCTTCTTCACCATCATCCCCACAAACTTCACCACCACAACTGCTGCTACTGCTACTCGCTTCCACTGATTTCAAATCATTCGACTCATCCTTTCTAAAGCTCAAATCGGCTCGTTTTAAACCACCTGACCCATTAGTACCGCCGTTTTTCTTGTTCATGTCTTTCTTGCTCTTTGTCTTCTGGCTTTGAGCTAACCCATCTTCAAAAGCATCAATAATCTCGTGTATCAGCTGCCGGTTCGGCGACGAATCCCACCTGACCCAGTAACTCATGTAGCACCTGAAACAGTCACAAGTAAAAATAGGTGGATGGTCATGATCGCTGCCGCTGCTGAAGCTGATGTTTCTTGTAGCCGGATATTTCTGGGTGCTTTTTCCATGGCTTGAAAAGTTGCCAAAATCGTTGTTGGAACAAGAGATGAGATAAGCCAAGACCTCCCTCTCTTCTGCTGAAAGAGCAGCCGCAAGGGTTAAGATGGCGGCCGGAAGGAAGGACAGATGATCGGTGGTGATCGGAGGCGATGGATGAACTGTACCTCTCCCGTAGAGCTTCTTCATGGTGAATTTTGATTATCAGCCAGAGAGAGAAAAGAGAATTTTATTACTTTTGAAGGGTTGATAAGGTTTTATATTAGTGTTATTCTATAAAGGAGAGGGAATAAATATATTAAAACATAGGGGCTGATGACGGTAGTTTAGGGCATGGGGGACATTAACCTGAGGAAGTGTGCGTCGCGGGTCTTAAATGGTGAAAGGCCCAATCATCAGAGTGGATGGAGTAAATCTAAAATCTGAATCATTTAAGTTTAGGGTAAACTAATTCAAATATCACTCGTCTTTGAGTTTGAACTCATTTATGATAATGATATTTTAATTTTATCAATTTTAATATTAATGTTTATATTTAAATATAATTATATCACTCTACAATTAATTTATTAATAACATGATGACATGATAATCTTGCGTCATAATGGTGATGATGTGTTTCTCTTACCAAAACGACGTCGTTTTTTGCAACTATTTGAAGGCTCAAAAAACCCGAAATAACATCGTTTTATTAGAACCAATTGATAAAAAATTATTTCCATGAGATTTGAGCCAAAATCTTCACAAATAAATGCCAAACACCCAACAACCAAGATGACTTAAAAATTTGTTATATTCTTAACAAAACTAATATATATGTTTAATAATAATTGTATACTTTAATCTTCCTCGTTGATTCAAATCCATAGTTTCAGTAATGTCAATCAACTGCTCGGCGAAATGCCAAGCTCAGTGAAATGTCAATAAACCTGCAGAACAATGGAACTAACTTGCTCATTCTTCATTACATGATTTCACTTGCTCATTTTCATTTTAAGAACTGAATTGATTATAAGCATGGGTTTGAATAACTGATTGATAAAAAATAATTCCAAAAAAAAGGAAATAAAACATGTCGTGAACTCATGACATTGCTTCATTCTTCATTACATGACTTTCCCAACCATCTGGCAAAGTCGTGAACTCCTGGCATTCAACCATAAGCAACTCTTGAAGTGCAGGCATCACTCCTTTGTCGGTCACAATTTCTTTCAATTCAAGGCATCTCCCAATTCTTAAAACCTTAAGCTTTTGGAATCCTTCAAGGAAGTCTAATCGCTCTCCCTCAATCTAGACCCACGTAGAAACAATCATCCCTCCCGATTTAGATAAAAGAAACAAAAACGAACAAGGGACTTGAAGGTTGATTGATCTGCTGTTGTTGGTTTATGGTTCACCTGCTGTAATTGGCATTTCGTCGAACAGTTGGTTGGCATCACTGAATCTATGGATTTGAATCTATGAGAAAAATGAAAATATACAACTATTATTAAACATATATATTAGTTTTGTTAAGAATATATCAGTTTATTAAGTTAACTTGGTGGTTGGGTGTTTAAAATTTCTTCTTAAAGAACTATGGTTAAAACCTCTTGGAATGTAATTTTTCATTAAATGATTCTAACAAAACGACGTCGTTTTGGATTTTTTTATCATTCAAACAACTTCGTTTTGGTGAGGGAGTCACGTCAGCAACATTACGACGCGGAGATACTATGTCATCGTGCAATTTAACCATTAACGATGGATTAACATAATTGCAGTAAAACATAAATATCAATGATAAAATTAATAAAATTGAAACACTACTGTCATTTTCGAGACTGAATTTAAAAGTGAGTGATATTTAAAGTAGTTTATCCTTAAATTTATTACTCTATGTCGTTTCGAGTTGCAGTTGGTGCACTGATGGTGACTGTTTTATATTTGTCTCAGTCTACCAATACCAATGGCACATGCATTGATTAAGCTTTAGCTGATCCTGCCCCAACCATGGACCGACCCTATTCTGCTCCAAATTTACACCTTCGTATACCTTGATCACACTATCATCGACACTCTCGTGCAAGCAGTGACATAGCCACCATTTATTAATTGCATAACTAATACCGGTCAAAGACATACGTTGGCGAAGCCGCCTCTAAATATAAATAAATAAAAAATACAACAATTAATTAACATTACAAAATTATGATATGGGCCATGGTAACATCTTTTCTTCCTCGTAACCTGAACTGTCAATTCATGTAAGTTTAAGTAAAATAGACTTTTGGTTTAGTATAAAAGATCAAATGCGTACAAGTAACTAATCAGGCTCTTTCACATACTGTCATACATAATGAATAGTGAATTCCCAGCTGGCGGTAGGGTTTTAAACTTATAATCAGTACAGGCATTTCAGGACATTATAGGAACTTTGCTCGTCTTCCTTTCTACCTACCTACTTATACGACATTAGGTAGGTAACGATTTGATATGAAAGTGAAGAGGTTACATCGTACACCCTTCTCTGTAATCCAAGTTTAGAAGCTTATGTTTTAAATAAAGCAAAGATATAGAAATAGACTACAACTTAAAATAATCCAAATATGAAAATTTCATCATATGCTTTAAAAAACATTTTTACGACAAACCAATGCAATAATTAGATACCATTCTCGATATATTTAAACCTTTAACAACAACTTTGTAGACGAGTCTTAATCCATGATTCGAGGAACTGCAGCTCCTCGTTGCTTATCGAATGACCAAGACCAGGATAAACCTGTAGTATCATACCAATTTCAGCAGATCAGCAGAGGCCATGTAAAAAGCACCAGAAAATATGTTTGGCACATATACCTTGAATTCACAGGTTACTCCAGCTTGTTCAAGGAAAGGGGCCCCTGATTGTCCAGCCTCAAAAAGTACTGTTCTGTCAGCCATTCCGTGGGACCATAAAATCGTGTCTACAAAAGTTCCAGGTGTAGCACCAATTGTTACTTCAAAAAAATGAGAAATTCGAGTAACTTCATTAAGAACTCATAATTTAAAAGAAACTAACAGCAGATGTCATTATTATCCATCAAAGCACAATAAACACAGTAAGCAATGTTGCTGAAGACGGCTATCGGATAGAGTAAAATCGTAACTGATAATTTGAGAAAATAAAAATGAAGATAAAATAGACACAAAATTTACGTGGAAAACCTCTAAATAATATAGGGTAAAAACCACGGGCAACGGTAGAAAAATTTCACTATGAGAAAATAGGAATTACAACCTCTCTTGATCTACCAAGGAGAAAATAATGATACTTCTCTCTTGATAAAAAGGAGAAAAACAACTCTCAAGAAACTCTCTAAATTCTCTAGTATTGGAAGAAAGCTAGAATGCTTTGGGATGGTTTTGAAGCTAAATGAGACAGGGTATTTATAGTTGAAGCTTGAGGGCTAATCTTGTAAATACCCTAAAGTTTAGTGACTAAATGTAATTATCCCCTTTAGCAAATATTCAACAAAATTGGCTAATAATAAAAAAAAATTCAAAGCCACCGGCTGCTAACTAGCAGCCCATGTGGTTTTTGATTTTTCAACAATCTCCCACTTGAAGATTTGATTGAAACAATCATATCTTCACACCATTTTTTCTACCTTGTACCATCATGTTGCTTACGTTTCTGACAGGTCACAAGAGGATCGACACCAAGTAAATTTATCAGCATTGACTGCCTTCGTCATGAAATATGCTATGTTGTCTTTGGTATGAATCTTCTACATATCTACCGTCCATTCTTCCACCTTTTCACGAATGAAACGGTACTGAACTCGTATATGTTTTGTCCTTGAATTAAATGTTGGATTCCTTGCTAGATGCAAGGCGCTTTGACTGTCACAAAACAGAGAGACATACTCTTGATTGTGCCCAAGCTCCTCCAATAGCATCTTCAACCAAATTGCTTCTTTACTGGCTTGTGTAGCTGCTACATATTCTGCCTCTGTTGTGGATGTAGCCACAACTGACTGCAATTTTAAAACCCAGCTTACTGCTCCACCAGCAATTTTGAACACATATCCTGTAGTAGATTTGCTTTTATCCAAATCCCCTGCATAGTCAGAATCTACATACCCATTGATTAGTAAGTTTGATCCTTCGTAACATAATGCAACATTTGAGGTCCCTTTGATGTATCTCAGGATCATCTTTACAATATTCCAATGCTCTTTGCCTGGATTCGCCATGTACCGACTAACCACTCTCACTGCTTGTGCAATGTCTGGTCTTGTGCATATCATAGCGAACATTAAACTTCTCACTGCCGATGCATACGGTACTCGAGACATCTCCATCCTCTCTTCTTCACTACTAGGACTCATACTTGAGGATAATTTAAAGTTAATAGGAAGAGGGGTAGAAATTGACTTACAATCTTGCATGTTGAATCTTGACAAGATCTTCTTCAAGTAATTCTTTTGTGAAAGTCAAATCTTCCTATTACTTATGTCTCGGTGAATTTGCATCCCTAGAATCTTGTTTGATGATCCCAAGTCCTTCATTTCAAATTCCCTAGCCACTTGTGTCTTCAATTCTTCAATATGATCTTTGTTGGGTCCTGCAACCAACATGTCATCCACATACAACAGCAATATAACAAAATTGTTATCACCATACCTCTTGAAATAAGCACAAGGGTCTGTATTAAGTCTGTTGTATCCAAGACACATAATGAAAGAATCAAATCTCTTATACCAACACCTCGGTGCCTGCTTTAGACCGTATAGAGATTTGTTCAACCTGCAAACCAAGTTCTTCTTTTCGTCTTCTTCAAAACCTTCAGGTTGGAGCATGCAAATCTCTTCTTCAAGATTTCCATGAAGAAAAGCTGTTTTAACATCTAGCTGCTCTAGATGTAAGTTCAATGTAGCACACATTGCCAAAATTACTCAAACTGTTGTTAGTCGAACCACAGGAGAAAATATTTCATTGAAATCAATACCTTCTTTTTGAGCATATCCTTTTACCACCAGTCTTGCATGATACCTCTCCACTTGATCGTCACTATTTCGCTTAATTTTGAAGACCCATTTGTTACCAATTGGCTTCCTTCCTTGTGGTAGTGGTACAAGGTCCCATGTATTATTTTTATGAAGGGCTTCTATTTCTTTTTGCATCGCCATCATCCATAATGAAGCATCTGAGTTGTTTATTGTCTCCTGGTATGTTGATGGCTCACCGTCCTATGTTAAAAGGCAGTATGTAATATTTATTTCTATAACATAATCTGAGTGCCAATTAGGACGTCTTCTCACACGATCTGATTGACGAGTTGTTGGAGCTTCAGAATTCTCTGGTTCT